ATAGTAGATGCAAGCATACCTCGAGAGGCTTGCATCCGTCATGGCAGCACGTTCCTTGCGGTTCACAACCCACAATTATGAAAAGGCAGGCTCCTGTACGACACGGACGTTGGCAGTGTCTTCCAGGAACCTCAGCAACCTCTGAATACATGGTTTGCACCGACATCACTTGGCCAGACACAATGGGGAAAGGGCACGTGAGAGCCTACCCTCCACTGCGTTAATTTTTCCACAAAAGGGGCCCATGGGAGACACAATGGGGGAAAAGGCGTATGAGAGCTTAGCTTCCACTGCGTTCACTAAATGCTCTTGACCCCTAGAAAGGAGGGCGGACTGACGCCACGTGCAAGCCATGTATAAACACTGGAAGAATGCAGGATCCACGAGATAACACGTTTGACGAACCTCTACGGGGGAAGGGTTTCGCTAGGTCGGAATCATGCCACGACCGGTGTTTTTTGGTTTTAACCAGAACGAAAAAATCCAACCACCGGTGTTTTTCGGTTTTAACCGATTTTGTATTTTCGTCACCGACGGATGTTTATCGGTGTTTTTCGGTTAAAACCGGAAAATACACACCCTACTTATAACCCTACGGGAAACAAGCACCTTATCTCACAAGTTCGGAGCAGCGTTGTGAAACCCACGGAGGAAGGATTAGCATTTTCCCCCTCGGATGGGAGGACCGATGGACTAAAGGTCACTTTCCGGCGCACTGGAAAACAATGAGAGGAACAAAATGGCGGTGGAAGAAGGTGTGGGAAAGGGAAACTGGCAGTTGGCATTGCGAAGTGCACATGAAGGCACCCTAGCTCAATCAATACCGGGGTAGTTAAAAACGCCAGCTGATATGAGAGGGCTCTGAGGGATTTTAGAATCAACTTCGTCAATAACTGTAGTTATATTTTCAACAAAGTCGGCTGGAAGAGCTAGGGGGCCTGTAACACGCCCTTATTAGACACGACTGAAAATATAGTTTAACGGTAATCCATAAAATTTTGAGAAAGCTATGAAAGAAAAGCAAAGAGGATGGGATGGTGTTTCTGACAGCTGCCATAACTCCGCCTCCCCTGGTACCAGTTCGGTCTTTGTGATAAATAGTAAACGAGTTTGCAAGAGACAGCTCTGAATTCGCAATATTCGAAATAAGCCAGGGTTTCGTTCCCAAAACAGCATCAGCAGAACAAGAGTCAATATAAGCCATCAAGTCATCCTGCTTCGGCAATAGACTGAGGAAGTTGGCTACCAGGAAAAAGTGTGGGCCAATATGCGTAGTGGGCAAGAATTGGTTTTATATTTATTTTGAGGTCATGGCGGTGGTCTATCGTGTCGCCTCGGGTGACTGAGATAACTTGATCACTGTTTGCATCGTAAGAGTGAACAACATCATTCAATGTAAGCTTATCGTATGATAGTCAGAATCTATTTGTACCTCGGTTTTCTTTCGCATAGTCACGGCGTCTTTTGCGGGCAAGCTGCACACTGGGCGAAAAATCCTCTTCAATTCAGACTTCGGGGGATATCAGGTTTTTCAACATGGGAGCATTGCTTAAGACCTCGCACTTGCGTTTGTAACTCAGAAATTTTATAACTATCGGCCTATGTGTCCCAGCCCTAGGCCGCCCAATCCGGTGCGCGCGCTCGATTTCACCGGAGGTGATGCTTTGATGGGTTAAGAAGAACGCGTGAACGTTGTTCTCTGTGTCGTTCCAGGTTTCACGTTCTTGTTCAGGTTGACCTTCCACTAATAGGTTCTTTCTACGAAAACGATTGTTTAAGTCATCAACGACACTAATTACATCTTCCATTCTGTGTTGCCTGGTGATGATACCTTCGATCTCTGTTTTAAGATTAGAAACCGTCAGATTCAGAGATTTTACTTCCTCTTTTAAGCGAGTAACCTCGCGAAAAGATTCTTCAAGATGCGACACACGCCGTGATATGTCTGCAATTTCGGCGTTAATGCACGCTAGTGTAACTGTAGTTTCTCTCTGGTTCTTTTTGTTCGAAGCAATGACACCCTGAAGGAACTCCAAGACCAGATCCATCTTGTCAGGTCCCGGATTAGCCTCAACACATCCCGCGCAAAGCAACAGTCGCGCAATGCATAATGACAGAAGCAGAATTTTCGCGTTGGGAAAGATTGATTTGACGTTCAAAACATGTTGATGCGAAGTAAAGGTACGGTTCTTTTTTTTCGCGGAACAAAGCATCCAATACAAACTCTGTACGTGCCCAAATCAACCCCCTTAACAGTACAAAGAAATCACAGAGATTCACACAGATTTGCAAGGATTTGCGGCCACAAAAACTCGAAGAATATTCCGAAACAAAGGGAAGATTCAAGTTCTGTTCACTCACCTGTAACGAAGGAGCAAGCCTACTTAGTAGGGTGTACACTTGGCCGCAAATCCTGCGTCTTTGATGGACGACAGTCCTTTTGAGCACTGAGAAGTCTTGTCCAGCAGACGTCACTTCTTGGGTGATTCTGAAGTTGACCAACCGGAGCCAGGCGCGAGCCGAGCTCGACGGGTGGTGGAAAGGGCGACAACACGAGACAGATAAAGATGAGTTGACGCTATAACGAAGGAACAAGCCAACTTAGTAGGGTGTACACTTGGCCACCAATCGTCGGTACCCGGGTGCGGTTGCGTCGACATTTGTAAATATGCGTGGTAATGTTCTAGTTTTCACTGGAAGGTGAACAAGTTCGTGCAATTATACAAAGTGCGTTGCTTGTGCTTATGTGTTTATTTATACTAATGTTAATTTATTGTCCTTACCGCGTTTATACTAGAATCTTAACTGTACTAAGGTAATTGTAAATTTTATACAAAATAAGTTATATTTTACTCTAAGGTAGCTCGAGCTCATAGGGAGAGGTAAATTAGTTGACTGTAAATGGTAAGTTTAGTACCCCTGTCACACGGAAAAGTTAATATATTTTCATTAAATGATATGGAACTTAACAGCTCACGGTCTTGAGTGATTATACGAGCGTCGCAAGCTGATTTGTCGACCCCATAATGTCAATTGATCGAAATTACATTACTCTTGCCCTGTGGCCACGGTATGATGCAAGAATTCAGTGACTGAATGCGATAGCATTGCTTACATGATTGTAAGTGACACTTGTCTAGCCGTGTCCGTGTTGATAACATCTACCTGACATTTAACAGTGATCTGTTTTGCTGTGTCTAAGCATTGCGTGTCTCGCCATTTTGTCAAAGTCTTTCTGTGTAAAACATGCATTCCTACAGCAATAATTGCGTGACTCAATGTATTCCCTTATACGCCTACCTCGTGCCATTTCACACCAATTATTTAGCGGTGTAATATTTTGCACGTGTAATAAAATGTTTTCTAGACCCATTGCTACGTGCAGCTTTCATTTTAGCTAATATGACACGCGTATGTGACTAAAAGCGCGTTACGACGGTCGATCCACGCGCGTTGCCTTCGCTTCGACGCGCGCCCCCCATGGCCTTCCTTTGCGACGTCACGAGAAGAGCATTGCGGCCTTCACTTCTTGGGGGTGTTGGATATAGACGAGGGGACCGGGGGCAAAAGTCTCTTAGGACTCCGGGCGGGCTCTGGGACAGGCAAGTGCGTGCGACGGGATCTGGGGTAATCGCGGGACACGAGGCCTGGGGACCCTTTTTGTGTTTAGCCTTTGCTTTGCGTGCGTTTGTGAATATTTGTGTGACGTCGCGTTTATTTATAGTTTAGATTGAGTGTTTTGAGAGTTGTGTCTTATGTACCAATAAGAGGGGAGTGGAATCTCTCTCTCGTGAAAGAACCAGGCTGGACTTGGGTTGTTGACGGACCACGTGGGAAATTGCGAATCGGCGGCGGTACGCGATTTCCTAGACTACTTAGTCCAGCGCTAGTACAAGCTTCACACTCTTTTTTGTAGCGCAAACAAGGCATACGCGCTCCGTGCACATGCAAGTTCAGACTCTCCCCAGCATCCGCGCGTGCACTGGCTTCCGCCCCGTGACATCATCTCCATCTCGCCTTTGTCCTTCACTACTTTCCTCGTCTCTAAGCAGCGCGCTTCCCTTTCCACTGTTTTGTCACAGACGGACAACGTCAGCTTTTCTCTGTCATGCGGGTACTAATGCAAACGCATCATCAGCCTCTTGGACAGCGGCGTTTTATTCAAGTATTCTCGGGTTCCATTTGTGCAGAAAATAGGTTAGCTGTACGACTCATTCCGGCTTTGCCGCCAGAGGGCCGTCTGTAAGCATCGTGATAGTTGAAACTCGGATATTTCATACTTGTGCTTAATTCCAAAACTTCTTTATTCGAACGCAGTTTTCGTATAATTAATACTTTTTCTTCCCGTGGCCCTGCAGAGTGGCAACACTCGCGGAGTTTGCTTCCGCACGTGTTGCTTCTCCGCGGTGCACCGTTGCTCAGTGAGTAGCGCACTCAACGGGGCTCCAGCAGGGCACACCTGAGCTATAAAAACGGGCACCACGAGAAAATTTCCACAGCAACTTTCGCGGTCACTGTGACGTGGCGACATGGCATAGGTTCACATCACAGCGTCCGCGCAAGTCGCTATGAAAACTGCCCTGTGGTGTCCATTTTCATCGCTCATGTGTCACCTTCCTAAAAGGTCACATTAGACAACTTCTTCATCCAGTGAACAAACCTAATTTTGATTTGAGTTGTCTTGTGCTGTCTAAACCGTCCACGATAACCCTCTTTGTGGGATAAATATAGTTATGTCGCACATTTCACGAATGTTTAATGCGTGCACACCTGCTTATGATTTGTAGACCTACGCAGAGGAAGTTATTAAATATCTGCTTTGTATATGTAGCCGTTCATGTGGCAAGTCATAATTTTATCTCGCATCTAATCTAGATGAATGTCTGATAATTGAAACTTTCGATAATTGAAACAAAATTCTTGGCTTTCTGAAGTTTGAAATAATGAGTGTGCCGTAGTCCCGCTTCCGTTGTCTCACGTGGCCCTTCACCTTTGTGCAGCGGCTAGTGGAGGTGCAGCCCCAAGGGCCCTACCACATTGTGGGCTACTCGTTTGGGGCCACAGTGGCCTTTGAGATGGCGGTGCAGCTGCAGCGGGCAGGAGCCCCTGTGGGCAGCCTGGTGCTCCTCGACGGGGCGCCCCAGTACATCCAGGTGCACAAGGTGCACCACCGTAGCCGCTACACCGACGTTCATGAGGAGGAGGCTTTCTTCCTGTGCGCCTTTCTTGCGCAGTACATAGACATCGATTTCCTTCAGGTGGGCGCCCTTTGCAAGCTATTAAGAGCAAAGCTGGGCCCACACTACCCTAACCTAACCTAATCTAACCGAACCCTTACCTGAACTAGAATGACTAACATTCTCCGACTGGTGTGTTTGGGAAGTCTTCGAAAGTGGTCCTATATTTCCGCGCGACGGTGTCATAGAAGTGACCTGCTGTTGCGGCTCTAGACACGTGCTCGTGACGCAATTTATTGCCACTTTCGTGCCACTCTCGATGCTTGGATAGAAAGGATGACGAATACGAAAGTCGGAAATGCAGTCGAGGCATTGTACCTCAACCTAACCCATATCCTATTCTTTCTATCCTATTCTGTTCCTCCCTCCTTCAAAGCGCCACCTAAAGGCCGTAATTTGACGCTATTTATGGTGAAGCACCATATAAATGCTGCTCTTAAAAACCTGCGTATTCTGGCACACTGTAGTTCCCATCACAGTGCATCAAAAGTGGCCTCCAAGGGGCAGCAAGTGACGTCACAAAAGCCGGAGTGTCGCGCTGCCGGATGTCGCGATGCTGGCAGTTGGACGAAGGAGTCCCGCCATAAGGCGCGAGACTGTGAGCGTCGCCGTCGTCGTATCGTCACAGCTCCTGACTGCCGACGCTTCCGTGGACTTTCAAGCCGGAGAGGGACCTGAGGCGGAACGAACGCCTGTCTCCTCCACCTCCGCTGCCGTGACACTGCCAGGATCGTGGCCGGCGACAGCGGGACACCTTTAGAACGTCATCCGGTGGAAATCGAGAGGTCGCTTTGTTGGATGCAACGAACGCGCCGTACTGATCGGAGGCGCATTCCAGCCACCGTAGCGAGAGGTTTCGTAGAAAGGAGTGTTTTGTGCTACGTCCGGTGCAGGGTGTAAGATAGACAGGTGGGGAAACTGCCCATAGAAGCCTACCGCAGCGTCGTGACCGGATTGTGTACTCGTCTGCTTGCGGGTACCCCCGAATTGCGACAGATGGCGGTGCGGCGAGAGGAAAAAAAATTGGAATCGGAATTGCATGGAACTCTATGGAAGAGTACGCGAAATAAACCGAGAGCACGACAGTCCTCTATTGAAAATCCACAAGAAACCATCTCTGTCAGTTTAGACGGTCGCCACCGGTCGCCCACCCGGAGTGAGAGTTCGTAGTGCTCCACATAGGTGGCGCCACAGAAAGAGAGAAACCCGAGGGGGACACAATCCGGTCGCTCATTTGGCTCTCGTTTCCCCACCTGTCTATTTTACACTCTGGTCCCGTGCGTGCGGCCGCAGGTGAAGCGGCAGATGGTGCAGTACCCGACGTGGGAGGCGAAGCAGGAGGCGGCCACGGACCTGCTGCTGGCGGGCATTTCCGACGTTCGCCCCAGCCGGGAGGACATCGCCCTGGCCACGAGCGCCTTCTATGATTTCCTCAAGGCCGGCAGCGCATACGCCCCCACGGCCAAGTTCCGGGGGGACGTCACCCTGGTCAAGCCCTCCAGGCCCCGCAAGGTGGCCATGCAGGTTCCCCCCGACTACGGCCTCTCCGAGGTGCGTGGCGTTCGGTGACGTTTCCCGCCCGATTTTGGAATCTGCGCGCGGTCGCGCCTTAAAGGCTGACGAGCGACCAGAAAGGGGGCAACTCGATTCCCGCTTTTCATTTGAGGGGGCGAGACACCTCCTCTTTTCTGGGGGGGGTCTAGACACCCGCTCCTTAGGTTATAGGAGAAAAAAGTGCGCGAGAGAATGGAAATGGAGAGAAGGAACCGGTTTTGTTCACTGAAGACGCGGTGACAGAATTACCTACGGAAACGCCTCAAGTGTATCGTGTCATGCGCACGCTCGAACCTGTCCGAGGTTTTGCATGACCAATGTGAGTGCGCCGTCCTACAAGGAAGAAGACGTCGTCGGCTGCAGATTGTCTTTTGTATTAGCAGTTGGACCGAAGCGTCAAGGGTCCTTCATACACTTGCGATTGCTTGCAACTCAGTGCGTTGCCACTCTTTGCGATTCCTTACGACCAGGAGACCACTGCTGCCAATAGCCGTGGATCACTCGCGATTTTCGTATATTTACCGTTTTCTGCGCGCATCATTCTTTCGCTATTTGTTTGAAAAGTTTTTGAAAATTTTATAAACAACCATTCTCGTAGTACGGACGTTTCATCCCGCAAATACTGCAAAAGCTTCAATGTCGTAAAATGCAGTTCCAGGGTTGCCTCATAGATGGCGCCAGCGTGCCAGCGTATTTTCTGGCCACGAGATATCGCGTGAGGTTGTAATGCAGTCGTTCGGAACCAGTCGCGAGTGTATGAAGCAGCCTTGAAGTGGATGGTCCGAAATAACGTCATTCGGGACCGAACCAGTGCTCACCAATTTGGAGAGGATCTTAAAAACAAATTTAGGTTAGCTCCACATGCGGACAAAGACCGGGGCGCAAAGCCTGTTCAGCTACCTGATGCATAAAGTAAGGGGGTTGTACATGCTGTCTGTGTGTGATTGGGGGATGGGGGGACTGCTGTTTTACAGCTTGCACTACCATTGTTCCAAGGTCCTACATGTATGCCACATTCAACTTAATATCGCTGGTTATAATCGTCGGAAAGTTGAGAATGTCGGCGAAACAGTCGCGGACTAACGATTGATACCCAGAGTCTGGGTTGGCTGTGCCTCGCGCGTTTGCTGTTTTCGTGCCTGCTTTCGTCCGTCCGCAACATCCGAGCAAGGTGTGTTCCTCGGGTATAAATTAATAGAGTAAAAAACCTGGCATGCTAGGTTCTACCTCAACGATAGAGTGCTAACCACCGGAACGGAATGGTATAACTTGCCAGAGCTGTGCCTATACACCGTACACCCCTAAGCTGACAATGGGGCCAAACCTACGTGCTCGCAGAGCCAATCCCAGGGATGGAAGCGGCATTTGACGTTTTGTAGCTTGTTCTGTAGCAGCTACTGACGCTTTTGGAGAAGATGCCCACAACTGTTACGGCGTCCCTTTCAAGATAAAAAGTGATTGCATCTCTAAATGAATTAATTTATGATAGTGATCGAGGGTTCCTCTTTGAGACTAGTGCATATTACATATTACCTTTTGTGATAAGAAGAGGTACGGTGCAAAAGTATTACAGTCTTCTTTTTAGAAATAAGGCTTTAGGAGTAGGTTTCACTCATAATTGGTACTAAAAAAGGATGAAAAGTGAATTCTAGTTGAACACTTCATTGGTTGATAATTAGCTTGCAGGTTAAATAAAACGTTTATTTAGGATGTAAATAAAATTTCTGTAAAATTGTCCCCTAAGAACCTACCCTGGGCTCAGTTTTTATTTTCATTTTTTATTATACATTAATTTACAATTAGGACGAATAAGGTGTACCTGTAATAATCCTGAGCATATTTTGCGTGCCCATCGCGCTAACCCAGGCGCTTTTCCAAGTCAGCCGCTGCCCATAGCACTCCGATGCAAAGGGGTGAACCTCGACCCTCGCACTCTGGTGAGATGAAGGTACACGTAGAGTGGCACAATTGACACTCTGCTCTGCAGTCACGGCACGAAAGCATGTGGCGGATGTGATAATCGAGTGATCTGGTCAGGAGTACACGACCCTGGTTCTGTCTAACCACACTAGCCGCAATCTTAGTATTCTGCAAAGTTTTCTCGGGAGTTTTAGTTCTCAACATCGCCGACATCGTCCGCAAATTTAGACGATGTCGGCGATCAACCGGCCAGAGCGGTTGATGCTCACTATCAGTGGATCTCGCCGGTTGGTTCGCACCGTCAAAGAGCGACATCGTGGCATTCCTCATCTCCTTGTACGTGTTCCTTCATCGCCTAAACCTGTGCAACCGTATTCACCAGTAGTGACAAACTAGCGCTGTTTTAAAGTTAGTATCGCGTCTAAGTAGTCGCGAACTAAGAGAAAAAATCAGCGACTAAGGATCGACTAGTTCTGCGGTATTCACGAGCTCGAAGCGAGCGGGTGACTATCTAGTCAGAACTAACTAGCGGAAGTGACATAAAAAGATAGGTCACGTTTACGCGTACTTAAACACCGCTGCGTAAATGGGCATTTTATTCTATAAAAACTAATATTTAAATGTTTGTCAGGAAAAAGAAAGTTACAATGAGAGAATAATTGTCCGCGAGAGAGTTTTACAAAGAAAAAAGTGCGGAAGAAAACGCAAGGGAGAATCACAGCAGCCGCATTGCCAACGACATAAATAATTATGGAAGCGCCCGTAAACGCGTATTTTCTCGTCGTCCAGCGCCTTGCTGAGATCTCTTTTGCGGCATCTCTGACCGTTTAAGATGGCTATTTATACAATGTTTGCTCCTCCAATTCTTTCTTGGTGTGTCCCCCAGCGTTCCGAGACAGTAACTGCTTCGCTAGCGGTGGCGGTCAGCGGTGGTACGAGTCGGCCATGGCGCTGAGCCGCTAGTCAACCGCTAAACACCGGCTAAACTAGCCCTACCCCATGACTAAGATTTGTTAGTCGGCTTCTTAGTCGCGCGGGGAGAATAAACCCTAAACACGACCGGAGAATACCAAGCGCTCACTTAGCGGCGACTATCGCTCGCCACGTGATCATTTTAGTCGATGACGTCACTAGTCAGTGGTCAGACAGGCCCTACCCGCGCCTGGTGAATACGGTTGACCAAGTGCAGCGAATGTCCCATGACTTGCACTTTTCTTTAACTTTTAAAATATTAGGAACGACCAATAATAACGTATTAATTTCTTTGCTTTACACCCATCTCGGCGCAGGTGTGGTGCAATTTCCCTTTCCACTCCCCTTTCGTCGTCCGGCTCCACTCTTTTTGTGTGTGTATGGGCGGGATGATCACGTGGCGAAAGAAAAGCTTACGACTGGTCCAACGAGCATGCAGCCTCCACCACACTGTGAGCTGAAGGGGTGAATGAAGTATAGTGAATGCGGCTGAATTCGAAGCAGTAATATATTGGAATACTGCGAGGAAACGAGTCTGGGCCATCTGCGCTGAAGTTGTCCGAAGAAAACCTCTCCTAATCCAGGGTTGTCGACACATTTTTTCCAGAGGCCGATTGTTCCCTGACATTGGCTGAGCGTCCTTCGTTTTTTCTCGCAGTGCTGCGAGGGAAAAGTTCGCATCCACGTGGTGGAGGGACTCCATGAAACCTTCATCCTAGGCAAAGGGGCGCTGGAGTGTGCCAACCTGATTTCCCAACAAGTCGGCACGGGGTAGCTCGGCCCGCCCATTCCAGAGTGGCGGCATCCTCGGGCTACTGCGGCGGAACGGTCCTCGCTGCCGCTTGGCTGTTTTCGTGTGTTGTCCCTCCGGTGCTCTCCCCCCCCCCCCCCCCCCACCCCTTTTCTCCTTTTTTACTGCAGACAGACGACGCGAACAGCATTTTCGCCACTACTGTGCATTTATGTATACTCATATTGTATTTTTGTTGATTGTATTGCCGCCAATAAAGAGCTATTGAATTCCAGGATGTGTGGGGCCTGCTGGGACTCGCAGTGCATATCCCCAACCTCGAAAGAAACCGGCGTAAAAATAGTTCCGAGAACTTGGAACGTTTGAGTTTGCAACGAGTGCATCATATTGTGGACATGGACGCTTGTTGTAGGCGTGGGCGCCGTCGCTTTTCTCCCCAACATCCTCTCTTCTTACACTTTCCCGTGAGGAGCACAGCTCGTGTGAAGCCAGTGTCTTGAGATGATAAGTGCGTGCTTATGTATTTAACATTATAGATGTTGTGGTTTCATACAGACACGAGACGTGTTTTTGATGGGGAAAATCTTAACGTCGTTAAAGGAACCATGAAACGACTTTGAAATCAAATTTCATCCACCGCGCGTCCTCGAAGTTGTAAAAAGAAAACCAAAATACAAAAACAAAGAGCCACAAAATGTTTTCGCCATAGAAATTTAAGAAAAAAGCTGACTCATTTATATTCTTGGGAGAAGAGCGTGTTGGTTCAAGTGATGGATGAAGGAAGAGTAAGCAATTAAAACTGGAAGAAGACAACCAATCTTTAAACTAGCAACAGACGATTCAAAATTAACACAGCGAGCAGCCGACTAAACCCAGGACGGAAAGGGGGGAAAGGAGAGATAAGAAACGCGAAGAGCAAGTGAGAGAGACAGGTTTATTTCGTATATGACGACGACGACGATGCCAGGAAGCTATACCGGGTGACCGGGGCGCTACGTTCTAGCCCTGGACGTCCATGCATCGGGGGTGGCAGCAGTCTACTTTGACTGGGCCACCGCCTGGAGCCGCTGCCTTCAACGAAGCGAGCGAGCGCACCATCAATCTCCACGGCTTTACCATCCAGAACTGAACAGCCTACCTAAGGTCACCTTGGCTCGCTTGCCTACTGGCCTGTACCGCCGCCGAACCTCCAAGACGGCGGATCAGAAGAGCACGTCGTCCTCAACACCATCAAACTGCCAAGGCTTTCCCACCGCACGGTGAAGCCTCCGGACATTACCGTTCGCCCGGGCACTTCTTACAGCTGGTAGAAGTGTCTTGGCAAACCCCAAAGCAACGCTGCTTGCGATGTTGAGAAGGCCGCGTCGTCCTCCCCCCCTTGTATATATCATCTCATAATCATCATCACTAGACGTGGCACCGCGGGCCTCCATGGTACGGGCTGTCGCCTTTCCGCGGTGCCACGGCTCTCCTGAGCAAATAAAGATTACAATTACAATTACAATTACAATTTTAGGGGGGAAATTCAACCTCAGTTTTCGCCAGCAGGAGGGAAGGGATTGACAGGTTGTTGTTTGTTGTGGTCATGCCGAATCTGCTGTCATGCCCCCAGGATATTTGTTTCGTCAAAGAGGCAATGACAAAGCGAACACGAACGGGCCTGTATGACTATAAGATGATTGGAATCTGGAGATGCCTTAGAAACTTCGTTGTGATCTTCGCGGAGTCTGTGATTGGTGCATCTGCCGGTCTGACCTATGTATTGATGGCCGCAGCTCAAGGGAATGGAGTAAACTTTCTCCTCTTTGCATGGCTTCGTTGTGATGTTCCCGGAGTCTGTGATTGGTCCATCTGCCGGGTCTGACTTATGTATTGATGGCTGCAGCTCAAGGGAATGGAGTAAACTTTCTTCTCTTTGCATGGAATGATCTCTTTTTCGTGTTTAACAGTACAGCCAATCGGGTTCCGGTTGTTGTTCACTTGTTGACAGAGTTGCTTAAGACCCATGTGGTACGAGAAGACAACATTCGTGTCAAACTTTGAGGCAATGAATTTTATCCGTGGGGCTGAAGTGTGTACGCAAGGAAGGACGGCGAATCCGGCTTTCTTTTTTGTGGCTGGTGACTGACGATCAAGCCCGCGAATCAGCCTTTCCATTACTAATCGTATACGGTCGACCGGAAACCCTGCCCTGACAAGCCTCATGTGTTGGATTTGGAAGCTATCTTCTGAAAGATGACAGCAAGACTTCATGAAGGATGAAGACAACAACGATTTGATGATACCGTGTTTTAGCGACTTCTAATGGGCGCTAGATAACAATAGGACAGGTTTAGCAGACCTTTGTCGAAAGGTCTGCTAAAACGAGTAGAAAGTGTCTTCAGCACTGCCGCCAGCCTCCGCAGCACTCCGAAAACGAAATTTTTGGACTTGCAAGATGTTCGTCCGTGGGCTTCACTCGATCGCAAGAGCGGGAAGCGCGACCCAGCAATTACCATTGAGATTAGTGGTTTGTAGACCCAAAATCCAGGGTGTGGCCACGAAAGCAGGTCGAGAGTAACGTGGAAACGTGCTGGAAATAGCCGACATCGCCAACATTCCCTGGGGGGATGAATAAATGTGCTGCCCCCTTGAAAAAGTTCTGCGGTCGTCCATGTGCCAGGCATTGGTCTGAGAACCATGAATCCTCCGGCCCTCAAGTGGGTTTTGAGTTCGTGTTTTGATGATGACAGCTGAATTTAGACGCCCTAAGTATCCCTAAAAACCAAAAGGTATAGTCATACGGTGATTATTTCTTCAATAAAAATGTAATTGAAGGCCGCCAAACCTCGGATTCATCCGAAAACGAAACCACTCTCATTGGTTCTCGCACGCTTATCAAATGGATCTCGGGCCAATGGCGTTGGAGGACGTTCCGTCGCGCAGTAATCCGGAGGTAGCCGCATCGGCCGAACCTCTTTGTCATTCGAGAATTTCGAGCTTCGATCAGGGCGGAGTTCTCTACGCTCGAGGACCTGACGCCGTTAGAGGTTGAAATTCTTTGGCGGACAGCCGACCTGGGGATGATTTCCTATGACGCCGCTCCGACGTGCGATGTGGACGATAGCAGCGCTTCGGAGTCATGTTCGGGTTTCGAGGACGAAGAAACGCAGACCTTTTCGGGCGTTCTTCGATTTGCGGTTGGGGCAAGTCGTAACCATACCAACGTTTGACATTGCAGCGTTACCTCTAGTACGTGATGTCAAACGATGTCGCCACGCTGACTTTCGCCTCGGGAGGACGGGGGGAAGGCTGGTTCAGACTTGTGGAACGAGCGCGTACCTACGACTGCGTCCGTTGCAACCGGAACGACCGGAACGACCGGAACGACCGCTCTGCGCCGCGCGTACACACACCTGCAACCACTACAACAAGCGCAGCGGGTCGTCAGCACGGCGACCGCTTCTATACGCCGCCGTCAGCTGTTTCAGCGGCCCCTCTAAAAAGGGGACGCACCTGCTACTCAATGCCGTAACAGAATATAGACAGACAGTTTTCTATAACCTAAAGCTTTATTATTTTTTTTTCTTGATAGGCTTGCAGGGTACAGCGGATGAAAAAAATAAAATAAAAAGATACAGTCCGCCGTCTTAGACGATCACGACTCTAATACACGACATTGCAATAGTACAAATATCGCCACACGCCTTTTCTACGATTATAAAAGACGATGTAATCTTAGCAGCGATATAGCAACGTAGAAATGTGATTTCGTGATCAGATAGACGTTGCGAGCGTTCAGGATTGCTAACACTAGTCACTTTTCTCCGGTGATGAAAACGCGTGAAAATTCGCATCCTTTATACGGTACGCGCCAGTAATACCTTGAACTTGAGCACACGCATGAAATGCGCCAAATAAGAAATCCGGGCGATGTTCGAGGACACAAATGCTTAGAAAGCACCACTGTAGTCGCAGTAAACAAACACGACGGCACGGGCGTTTCTGCTGTCTTGAGAGTGCCGCCACGACATCGCCGCACGCGTAGGTGGATGTTCCCTTCTAGTACGTGCTGGGTTATCATAGCGACACACGACGAAAATTCACAGTCAAGGATAGCGCTTTTACGCGGACCGATGAGCTTTCACCACGCCGTCCGCGATCACCACCGACGCCATGTTTGCGGATAGAAGGAGCCGGCCGGCCCGCGACCGGCATGACCGGCCTGCAGCGCGCGGAGATGCGTGCACTTCAGCGCATCCGTGGGGAACGGGAAATTCACCCCTTGCGGAGGAAGACAAGGAGAAAACGTAGTCTCTTGTTTGTGAAACGATAACTGCAGTATCGCGTATTCTAAACTAGAAATATTTTACGTCTGGTGAAATTATCATGCACAACATATTTAAATGAACTGAAAATTGTTTCTTTAGCGAAACTTTACAAAGACCGCCAAAATGTTCAAACATACGATAATTTCATTGGTCCTCGCAAGTACAGAAAAGCGTCCGCACGTATTTTATTCCTGCGTGATTAATAGGCGGTTCTGCCTTCAAGAACTGAAGATACTCATCCACTGACACTTCCTTAACGTCATCGCACCAAAAAGTAGCTTCTCCAAAAACCGCTTGAGTGCCGCTCTAACGTCGTGGGAAGTTTGCGAGATCGAGCTGAAGCGCATGTTCGTCTCCCAACATCGACGAGAGTGAGCCGAGTTCCTGATTCTGTCCAGGACACGGCCCCAACGAGAGCGTCACCGCCTTCGTAAAGGATGTTTTGCGCCTGATCGAGCGCCCCCGCCGACCCCTATGCTACAGAAGACAAGAAGCTAAGAATCCCAGGTCCCTCATGTGACAAACATCTTCGGCAGCCTTGTCGGGAACTGCCCCCCCCCCCCCCTTCCCCCCGACAACAGTCGAAGGGTTCATATCATCGAGGCTTCCAACATCGAACGCGCACTGCATGCCCGAGCCTGCCACAATCAACAACTTCCCGAAATATCGACACTCGAGTCGTCCAGCTGCAACTTCGACGCCAGCCTCCGAGGCAGCCGCGACATCAGCCACGACGTTGTCCGAGGAGAGATAAGGAAGCTACTTCCTGCTATCAGTTGCCCGGCTTTTATTTTGATTACCGAGATTAT